CATCTTTGGATATGCCATACTTAAACGCTATGCTGAGGGTCAAAAAGCCGCTTGTTCCCAAGAAGTTCATATGTTTTTTTGCTGTAGTCCCAATCAATGGATGCCACGCGGTACCCAAGCTCATGCCTCAAAAGCGTGTTGTGTCATAGTAACATATACAATGTTTTTCTTCACATGTCCAGGGGAAACGAGAAAACTGGGCACCCTGCATCCTTTTTGATACTTCTCCTTTCCCTGAAAAGATTTCCGTAAAGTTGTAGTTCTTGGATGCATTATCGAAGGACAGCCGCTCATTCCACGATAGTAGTAGGACCTGATCATCGAAACATACTCCCTGCAAAAAACAACGGCACTCCAGTTTGATACATTGTGTGTGAGACGGTCTAAATAAGACCCACACTATTGCCAAAAAGACCTCAGGGAGAAAGGCCAAACATGTTAGCTCTGCAAATCAACATGTAATTCGAACGAGATCCCAACTTTGGGCGCTCGTACTTGAAGGAGGGATCGAACCAAACAGCGGCCAATCATGGCTGCACACCACAAGCCCCGGGACACTGCGGCCCAACTAAAAGCTTAATGATCTTAATGCAGATGGGTGGAGCAAAGCTGCATACAAAATGCACAGTTGATCACAGTTGTGCATAACACTTGGATCAATCTAGGAGGATTCATGAATCATGACCCACGCCCTCGCAGCGGCCAACTTGCAACTAGGCAGGAAGGAGGGTGGCACCTCTAATCCGAGCGCGAGCACGCCAGCCCATCCATTCACCTGACAGAGCAGCGAGTAGCATGTGGGAAGTTATCTCCAATCTCCTCCCCTCAAACCAGGGTGCGCGTTGGACATGGGCACAGGTATTCGCATGCTGCGCGCCACAAACAGCTTTTCTAGCCAGCAATTTTGGTGCCAAAGTCCAGATCACCAAGAGCCATCTTCTAAAGCCCCTGGTGAAACCTATATGTAAAATTAGGTATGATGCCATCGATCATACTACGACCCGCACGTGTTCTGGAGTTGTCAGCCTTTGACACTCACTGCACGTGATAAAACCCCGGTGAGCCATCTCTTCATAAAAGAACAACTTCTGGAAACGGTCGTTGGATACTGGATACGATATAGGCCGGTCAATATTTTCTGGAAACGACTATGTTAACCCTGCTGCGTTCCATGGCTCTGTTCCACCTTCAAAAACATGATCGAGACAAAATTGACTGATCTCGGAACTCACTTGGTTTCAGCGTAGGCCTAAGTCGCGAGATGCAATCGAACAACCAGGCACACCCACACACACCCACACACACATGTAGAACACGCATGAAAACACATGGCAAGGGGATTGATAATCAGCTAAAACACCTTCCTCCCAGCAGCTGCACACTCATCAGGAGTCAAGCCCTGATCTTTGGCTGCTTTTGCTGCCCTGCGGTAGGCTGCTGACTTCCGGGCATTGCGTCGCTTTGCTTCACTGGAGTTGCCACTGGTTGCAGCAGTCCTCTCGCCGGACTTTGGCGTTGGGTTTGGATCCTCTGCGCCATCAAGATTTGTGCTTGGGTTCTCTGTGGCAGCAGGATCTGCGCTCGCGGGCTGCGGAGGCGTGCATCCCTCTGGGGTTTGCTTGCGCACACGGGGGCGGCGGATCACTGCGGGCATGTCCTCAATTGTCCGCTGCTTTGGGTCCACAACATCAACCTCAGGTTCTGCCTGTGCTTTCCTCTTAGGCCTGCTGGCCTTTGCATCATTGCCGGTGCTGCTGCTTGGCGCACTCACCTCAACCTGTGTCTTGCGCCTTCTCTTAGGTTCTGGTGCCTCAACAGCGCTTGAAGCTCCCTCCCCAACCACCTGCTTGTTGCCTCCCTTTGCCTTTGCCTTCGCTTTCGCCTTTGTGCTAGCAGCTTTTGCCTTGGCGGTTGCCTTGGGTGTTGCTTTTGCTTTTGGGTGTGATTTTGCTTTGGCCTTAGCCTTAGCCTTCCCTGCTGGACGACCCCTCTTCTTTTCGGCTTTACCCGAAAGTTTGTTTTGCTCTTCCGGTGAGATACATGCCTCAGTCTCAACTATGGGAGGTGTGCTTTCTGCTGCGCTTGGCTCAGGATCTGTAGGTGCACTGGCTGGGATGGCGAGAGGCTGCTCTTGCTGCGCTGCTTCTGGTTGCTCTTGCTGTACCGCTGCTGTTTGCTCTTGCTGTGCTGCTGCTGTCTTTGCGCTTGAGGCGGGGACGACATCCTTGCAACCGCTCACCTGCGCAACATCTTGCGGATGATATCGCATGTACGTCCTTCACCATTTGAAGATGGGATAAGTGTCGTCACAAATGAAGCCAAGGCCACAGACACGCACACACACACACATCAAATTCACCAGATCATGAAAAGAACCACATACGTACTGTATACTGTATATTTGATTGGTTGCCTCCGGTGCTTCGATATCAGCTGCAAAGACATGCGACTTGCCCACACGAGGCTCATTCTTGGCCAAGTCCACATAGAATTCCATTTCTTCCGGTGCCATAGGAAGAGTATCCAGCTGGTCAATACCTTGAGTGAAGGCATGATATGGCCAGTACGTATACCAGCGTGAAGTGGAACATGCAAACATATGCAAACACTTATCATTCATATGAAAAGGGCTTTAAGCTCTAGACACATGTATCAATGCATATCTCTTTGCTTGCTGGTGCAGTCAAAAAGCAAGAGTTTCGAGACTGTGCACCCAGCAACCGCTGAAGCTCCTTTCGCTCATCCTCCAACTGCTTCAGGATCTTGAGCTTTTGGAGTTTCTGTTCAGCCTCTTCAGCCAGCGAGACCTTTTCTGGGACAGGGTCGTTGAAGAGAGAGGTGTGGATCTCAGTTGAACTCGGGGAGGCCGTTTTTTGCCCCCCACAATTCTTCTGCATAAACTCCTCTTGGTTGTCACCAACTTCAGAACAGTTCTGGCACTGAACAGCTGCTTTGACAATGCGGTGACAGCTACTCTTGAACCCCACAAGACGACCATCGCATGGTTGCTCAAAGAGTTTCTCCGGATTGATGTGGGACACCCTGCAATCCAAGCAGATGTAGCCACATTTCATTGGTACGTGCAGCTTCACTGGTGTCATACTCAAAGGGGAAGCCAACGTGCCTCCAGTATCACCATCCATGGTGCTTATAGTGACTATCATTCGAACACAGTCAAGCTACATGCGGTGCGTCCAAATCATTGTTGCCTGCCCCGAAAACAAAATTGAGCCCAGGCACCTCTCGGCGGAGGAGTGCGCAAACTGACATCGGATGCGCTGCGAGGCATCGGAGTAGGGACCGCTGGCAACGCATACTCCACACCTAAGCTTTGGATTGTTTTGCGAATTATGCATTTTTGGCGAACCCTGGCCCCTCAAAGGATTCTGAAGTGTGATGCACGTTGTAAGGCCAGAATAGGTTGAAGAGTCATTGTTGCAACCTGGTCACGTGCAGTCGCCGGTTTGCTCTCGGCATTCTTTGGGTTGGCAGACTCCAAAGGTCGAGGTTCTGGAACCTGGCCAGCCAAATAAATTACTGTACTCAAACATTCACCGATAAATAATTGTTTGATACAACCAGTGTACATCAGCAACAAAGAACAGCCTAGCCTGAAGCACTGGGTCATCGATGAACTCCCCCTCAGCCTCAGACTCCATTGCTTCTAGGCCTTCTTCACCATCTTCACCTTCCAATCCTGAAGAGGAGGCGGATTCTGGGAAACTGTGGTACCGGAATTGGTCAAAGCTGATGGGCATAGGGGTGAAACCAAGTAAACTGGTTGCTTCGAAATGTTCTTACATGCAAGATGTTGCAACCAAAGTTCCATCGCCATCTTTGACTGGCTGGGCACGGGGCTCCGGGGCGTCAATCCCAATGGCTCTGAACAGCGCCCTCATCTCAGGGCTTCGAGGGGTATGTGGGCGCCGGGCTGCGCTACATAGCACTGTGATCAAATTCCGAAGTACCCATGCTTCAGTCTTGATGTCTTCGCCTGAGATACGCAGTGAAGACCGGTCTTTATCCAATATATGCGATGTCATTTCATGCAATGAATACAATTTCTAAGTTGATCAAATGAAGAGGGTGGGCCTATTATTAGCCAAGATACTTTTTGGCAAGGGCTTTCCACGTGGCCGACAGTAAAAGAGAAATCTGGCAACCAAGTCCTCCAGCAGGGCCACGCTCGGTCGCATACCTGGGCGGTGCAGATGTGGTGGGTCGACACTGTATGATACATCTAAAATGAAGCCGCTCAAGTACCTTTCAGTGAAGAGAACTATATCATGATTCAATCAACTTGTTTTACCAAGCGAGTTACCGAAGTGTGTCACCAATGGTGCCAGAAGCTCATGATTGTCAGCCACAGTGGTGCGGTCGATTGCGTTGCCTTTCACCGAAGTTACTTGCCCACAGGTGCAAGCCCGAGACACCACAGCTTCTAGCTTTAGCCATTCCTGCATCACTGGGCAGTCTATGGAGTCACCACCAGCAACGACCGCCATGACTAGAAGGCTAATCGCAAGTGAGCCTAACCAAGATTGAGCCAATCAAAATCCTGCAATATCCGCATAGTGGTTCTTTGCAGGATCTCTGCCACCCTTGACCCCTCCACCTCAAAGAAGCGTGCTGCCAGGCCTTCACTGCGCCAATCCACAGCGCACACACCACACACTGTGATGATCAGCTTTGCCCCACAGCTGTTAAACCCCAACAGCTGCTGATACGGGCAGAGATTTCTTGACGGAAACCAAAAAACTGACGATTCCGGAAAATCTTGTCGAATTGGAGATTCTTGGTCGTTCTTTGATTTTATAGTACGAAAGGCCAATGTCGTTAAATTTATAGTACGAATGGTCGTGCAGGCACATAGGTTATTGCATGTTATGGCACCCGACTTTGGTTGGCCTTCCTTTTTGCAATCCTCAAATAAGACCTTCCCTTGCTTCACACGGTCAAGATGGAACCAGTTCTCCCGGTGTATCCCGGTGCTTGGTGACTCACATCACCAAGGCTGCAATCCGCCAAGCTCTCCTGAGAGCTCCGCGAGCATCATCGGAAGCCTCACTGGCCAGCCCAACTTCTTGTTTGCCGCTCGAATCGGACGAATCGGTTGCCAGACTGCCTGGGGACCAGATGTTTCCCAGTGTTTGGTGATCACAGATGTTCACCCAAGTTTCTCCAAAAGTCAATCAACCAAACGCATTTCGCACGTCGAAAGAAATGGTGACTGGGATGATCGGACACACGGTCGTTGACCAAACGTGGCAGGGCAGAAGCCGACGACAAAATGACTTAAAGTATTGAAAGAGAATGAACCCAAGTCATACGTAGATGATTCAAGAATCCCAAGTCACCACGAATGACCTACAAGGAAGAATGGCGAGAAAGAAGCCAACCCCAGCCATTCTGATGCCTCGCCCTTTGGTGGTCGAGGGAGGTGCCCACCTCATTGGCGACCATACAGTTAGGCCGTACTTGTTATCTTGTTAGCAAGCAAAAGACATGACCCAGCTGAAGCTTCGGCCATCAAAACCTCGGGAAAAGCCTCGGGAAGGCACGGGACTGGCCACATTCAAACCAGTGGTGTGTAGCTCTGTCATGTTTCTAGCATCCGTTCACGCCTGGCTGAAATGATCTCAGGATATGAAGAATTCATACATTTTTTTGGCCACCGACATCCAGTTGGTCATGTTCGCGATTGCTTTACGTGCCATCACTCTCTTCCAGATCGAGTTGAGGGCTGGTCGGGTCAATGGTGCCTTGACCTCTTTGGGAGGGTGATTCCAAGCAGAGATTTAATATATTATGAATAAGTACATTTAATATATTATGAATAAGTACATTTATATATATATATACAATGTTGTATTTTATGATATATGCATCTTGTATCCGATAAGCATTTAATACCCGAGAGATGATTGAAATCAAGAATCACTCCCTATCGGCCTTTCAAAATGTTGGATGGTGTTGGAAGGCTCAGGAGAGCGGATGAAAACGATTAGCTGTGGCGGACAAGTGGCTCAGGTGATGTACGCCAGCGAGTTCTTTGCCGACTGGCCATTGGTCTATTGGCATCTCGGAGGGTTCTTTGGTTCATTTTGTTATTGTATTTGTGCATTTTTTTGACACCCCTTTTGGGTCAACACCAGTGCCCATGTAAATGTCAATGTGTTCACATTGGAATGAACATGCACAACTATATTTGTTTGGTCATTGATTAGCCAAGGCAACATTCCTCAT